GGCACATTTTGAAAAGACACAGTCTATGTATCAACAGGAAAAAAGCAAAGGGGAAGGGATAGAAGTCTCTGTGCAGTGACGCACTCTACAGAAACCAGTGAGATGGTGTCAGCAAAGGGACGGCTTGATCTCTATATAGACATATATCTTTAAAAACACAGGCGAGGGAGGGGAAGGTAATAAGTTAATCTGTACAGACAGCATTCGGCAGGCGAGGAGATGGCTGGCATGCCTGCTGTCCAGCTGTCTGTCCTTTGCAGAGGGCATTCTCTAGGGCAGCATGGATGGAGCATGCTGCAGGGACTCAGACCCACATGCCAGAGCAGGCAAAGCCATGAGAGAGGGACGTGGGACGTCGGGGATAGGCGGTGGCCCTGTGGCACCGCTGAGGGAGTCAGCGCACAGCCTAGAGCTGTTGGAGCCATAGGAAGCGGTGCAGTTGGCCCGCTCGTCCCAGGGCCCTGGACACAGGAGCAAGAGTGGCCCCCCGGGCCCACCCTGCCACTGGAGTCTGCTCGGGCTGGTGCTCAGGACCTGGGACTGGACTCAGGGCAGCTGGGAAAGCAGGGCAGGGCCTCCCAGCTGGCCTGCCCCCAGCACCACAGTGCCCACCCGAGCAGCCCAGGCAGCATGACCCACGTCAGGACAACAGGGTTCCCCCGCAGCTCGTGACAGGGTCTCTGCCCTCCTGCTCTGGCAGCCGGAGGGAACCTCCTCCAGCTTGGCTCGGGGCCGCCAGCACTCAGCCAGATCCCACAGCAGCAGCCTGGTGCTGCCAGCTGTTCTCCAAGTGTGACCGACTTGGGCAGCTCCTGCCACAGCCCGGGGCCCTGCCGGATGCCAGGAGCAGAGGGCAGCAAGGCAGGGTGCTGTGCTGCCTGCTGCATTGCAGCCCCCAGGCCCCATCTATGTTCTGGATTGGCTGCAAGGAGGGAAGGAAGCCGCAGCAGTGCAAGCCCCTGGCACCGGTTGCACGGGTTGCTCTAATGCAGACCAGGCCGGAGAGGATGAGAGTGAGATGCTCCCCCGCGGCTCGGGGCCACCCCCGAGTGCACAGCCGCACTCTTGGAGCTAGACCGAGCCCTGCGGGGCCTCATCTCCCTCAGATCCTGCAGGGCGAGGGGCAGAGAGAGGAAACCACAAGCTTGGGGAGGTGCCTGCCAGCTACCGTGACCGGAGCCCCAGATGCACTCAGGACCCCCAGCTGGATCCCCTCTGAGGTGGCCAGAGTGGGGCTGCAAGGTGACAGGAGGCTATTCCTACTGTCCAGGCAGCTTGCGTGCCCTCCTCGGTCCCAGGCAGTCCAAAGTGGGGGCAAGATCCCCACCCCTCCGCACTCCCCAGTGCTCTCCCACCCCAGGGGGCTTGAGACATGACCCAGGAGCACAGGCAGAAAGAGTCAGCACAGAGCTCTGCTCCACGTGATACCTCTGCAGACCCAGCCCCAGCCCCAGGGAACTTCTCCTCGGATAGCAAGGCCAGGCCCAGGGAGTGGGGGGGGAGACGGGGCAGCATCATGACCACACCTGTGGTGCTGGTGGTGCACGGCCCTGCCCGGCTGCTCTGCGGACGGATGGAGCAGGGAGGGAACAAACAGGAGGGGAGGGGGAGGCTGCATTCAAGCATTCACAGGGGACGAGGCCTGGAGACGACGCCGGCAGCAGGGGCTCTACAGGACGGTGCTGTCCAGGTCCACCTTGACTGGCAGCGGCCCTGCCTCCTCGCTGTCGTCCGCTGGGCAGATGGTGACTGCGATGACGGGGTGCAGGGAGAAGGGGGCCGGGGCATCCAGGTCCTCCAGGTACTCCTTATCCCCGTTGATGCTCAGTGGCTGGAAGAGAAGCAGAGGGGAGCTGTGCCAGGCAGGAGGGCAGTGTAGGGTGGCAGGGCTGCGGGGCAGAGGTGGGGGGTGTCTGGTGGCGGGAGCATATTTGCAGCCAGCTGCTGTAGTTGGTGTCAAGCAGATGGGAGCGGGGAACTGATGAGGCTCCTGAAAGGAGCAGAGGCCAAAGCAAAGCAGGGAAGAGGCCAAAGGATTTATTCCTGCCGTGGCTTGAAATGCAGCTCTTCGCTTGCAGGGGGTGACCCCCGCCCTGGAGCTGGAGGAGAGGGGAGGGCTGCCAGCTCCGTACCTGGGTCTTGACGTGCTGGTCTGGGGCCGTCACCAGGCTGGCGCAGCTCAGCCACAGCATCACCATGATGGAGAGGAAGAGGCAGGCAGCCAGGATCCAGCGAGGAAGGCCCGAGCGCCTGCAGCAGCCCAGTGCCCCCCGCCAAGGAGAGATGACAAGTTTACACGGGTCACCAGGGCCAGGGCTGCCCAGGGGGCTGGGGGCAAGCACCCCCTCCCAGGGAGACCACGAGACGCACTCCCACCTGCCCGCACAGTGTTCCCCCCAGCTAGCCCGAATACCCTGCCCTCACTGCCCCCAGCCAGGCGGCACCTACTTGGACATGCAGCCCAGGAAGTCGTGCTCCGGTTGCTGGGGCTCCGCGTGCTGGCTCTTGGTTTTACCCTTGGCTTCTCTCACAGGGGGCTTCTCCAGCTTCTGCCGGGGATCTGGGGGAAGACATGCGAGTCCAAGGGATGCCCTGTGCCTAGTAGTTTGAGCACAGCCACCCCTGCTCTCCGAGAGACAGGAGTGCCGGCTTGCACGACACGGCTGAGACGCTGGCCTGGGGGAGGTTGAAGAAGCGCCATCCAGCAGCTCCCCACCCTGTCCCCATCCCACAGAGCAGCCAGGCCAGCCGGGCTCCATGCCTGCCGCACCTGTGTGGGGCTGCAGGGTGTCGGGGCTGGCAACGGGCTGGGCCTTCTCCGTCAGGTCCAGCTTGGGCGCCTGCACCTCGGGCACCGGGAACTCGATCTCAGGCTGGGACTGAGCAACCGACGCATGACCAGGAACAGAAAGGGAGAAAAAGCAGCTCAGGACCAGGCCCCAAAATCTCGTACGGGAGCACAGCGCATGGGACCTGGGCACTGAGGTTGCACACAAGGGAATACGTGGAGGGGCTTGCTCTCGGTGGGTCTGGGCCACGCCTGGCACCAGGAGACCAACTGCAGCAGCTACCGTGAATCTGGCAGGGACGTGGAGCCCACCGTGGAGGCCCAAAGCACTGGCTGACTGGCTGGTCAGTGGGTCAGTCTGTCTGTCCATCCGGGGTATTTCTCAGTGCCCATTGCCTGCACGCGGTGTCCAAGCACCAGACAGTGTTAAGGCTGGTTATGGAGTGGGGTCAGTCTCACTCCAGTGAGTATGTGCACAGGGCTGAGAGAATCCAGCCCGGCACCAGGCCACAGCTCTGTGGAGACCAGCATCCCACCTCCCTGCTGGACCAGCCCAGCTCTCACCGCCCTGCAACCCTTGCCCGCCTGGCCTTGGCCTCCTGCTTTGGAGGCAGGTGCCTGCACCTGGTCACTGGCTAGGGAGATGGGGTCCTCTGCAGCAACAGCTTCTGCCCTGACTTGTCTCTGTGACCAGAGCCATGCAGGGAGCCCGCCTTACCTGGAACACCACCACTTTGCCGTCGTCTGCCTGCAGGTAGAAGGTCCAGGTGAAGGAGATGAAGCTCTGGGCTGAGCTGACGATGTCGTTGCAGAAGGAGGAAACCAAGTTGAACATGGAGAAGGATGCAGGCTTCAGCTCCAGACTCTAGACCGGCAAGGAGGAGACGGCTAGCTGAGCACAAACCCCCCTTGCCCCTCCCTGCTGCCCCGACTCGATGCAGCTCAGGGCTGAGGGTGTATGCACCAGGTCTCCGGTCCGATCCCCCACTGCACCCCTGTCCTCAGTGAGGCTGGGAACAACAGCATAGTGAGGGCATGGGCCTGGGATGCAGGAGACCTGAGGTCGGTGCCTTGCCCCTACCACCAATGCCCCATGGGGCCTGCTAACCTGGCCCTGCCTGTGCATGCATGCGGCCGCCCAAGGGAAGGGGCTGGCTGGAGGGAGTATGCAGGGAATGCAGGCGCATGGACTGGCCTGCTCAGGCCCCAGCCCCATGGCAAACTTCTAGCTGCTAGCACCACGCATTGAGCCTGCCCCTGCACACAGCCAAGGACCGAGGCCTCCAGCTCCTACCGCTGGGCTCCGCCACCAGTTCTCTGTTTGACCCTGGGCAAGTCGCTTCACTTCCCCATGCCTCGTCCTGGTCAGGTTTGGCCTCTGAAAGGAGCAGAGGCCAAAGCAAAGCAAAGAAGGTCCCAAGCGCCCTTCTAACAGGATTGGGGGAGGCTTCCCCCAGGGGCAGGTCTCACTCCACCCATCATCACCAGGACAGGGAACAGGGTACCGGTCTCCGTGATCCCCTGCCACTGCCTGGGGACACCAGCACTGGCTGCAGAGAGAGAAGCCCGGAGTCCTGCCTCCCAGCTCTGGCCACCCGAGCACAGGGACAGGGAAAGAGCCAAGCATGGGCGCCTCAGCCTCCCGGGACTAACAGAGCACAGGGCTCTAGTCCCATCAGGCGCCTTCTCTGATCAGGTTACAGGAAAGTGGACTTGCACCGCCCCACTCTCCAGCACTGGGCATCGCTCGTGCGATCACGTCCCAGGCCATGCACCAGTAGCTGGGCACTAAGGAGCGCTGCCAGGGCAGGCAGCACCTCTGCCCACAGGGTGCCATGCGGCCACGGTGCAACGGGTCAAAGCCGGTGTGGGGGAAGCCAAGGCACGTGCTCCCCGCCTGGAGCTTGACGGGAGCTGGGCTGGGGACGATGGGTGCCGGGGGCTGCTCCTACTGCCTCAGTGGTGTTCCCTGCTCGGGCCCATCCCCGGGCCTTGGGGCACCCAGTGCCAGGGGAAGGGGAGTCTGTCACCTTGTCTCTCCTGCTTTCCATCTCAGGCAGCTGCTTGCTGCAGCCTGTCGCGCAGCCGAATTGCTCCTCCACCTTGGCGTAGGCTTCCACACAAGCTGGAAGACAACGGGGGCAGGGAGCAGTCAGGGAGCACTGCCCAGACGCGGGGCGAGATGCTGGGGGTGCTGGAGCAGCCGTAGCCGAGGCTGGAGCCCGGCTGGTGCGTCCGAACCCCGAAGTGGCCATTTGTGGCTTGCTCCCCTGCTCGCAGCCACGGAGCCCCGACTTCCCAGGGGCAGGGGGCTCTGGCTTGTGCCACGGGCGTGGGACAGCAAGGGGTCGGCCCGGGGCACCGTGCCAGCCCGGCAGGAAGCTGCGAGCGAGCGGGAGCCGGCGCAGCCTGACAGGAGTAAGTGGGGAAGCGACTCCTGGACAGTGTAAGGGGGCGGGGGGGCCTGTACCTGATTCACACTCAGCTCTGGTTGCGTTCAGCTCCGCGCTCGCATCCACAAAGTGACAGATGGAGAACAGCCGGCACCCGCGGTAACAGGCGTTGAGAGCAGCGTCCTGCCGGGAGGAGAGGGGGAGTGAGGAGCTGGTGCTGCGTGCCATGTGCTGGCTGCGCCCGGCGCCCGGCCCTTGCCCACCCGCACGGGGCTGGGGAGTCATGCACGGGGGGCTCTCCCGCGCGTGGGGCCGAGCCGCCGTGCCCCCCGGCGAATGCCAGACCCGGCCCGGCGCGATCCCTGTCGCGGGGATGCGGGGGCTGCGTC